AAGCCCCGGTTCTTGCGCATCTTTGAAGACCGCCTCGGAGTCCGGAATCGATCTAACTTTCCTACCGTCGTGGTCAAGTCGTTCGACGGCACGCCAGCCTTGACCTGCGAAAAGAACTACGATAGCGTGATGAAGGTAGTCGAGACGATTCAGCCAAAGGTGTTTGTACACAGCATGAATTGGCCCCAGTTTCTCCGTCCTGGAGGCTCGGACTCGGACTGGCACGACCCGACCAGTCTCCAATGCTGCGCCGCTGGCTACGTGGACAAGTGCACGTACCAGCGGCCGAAAGATGTCGTGAAGATCGTGAAGCAGTTCGAGCGGGACATCACGCGATTCACAAAACTCGGGATTAAGGTGTTTGTGGCCACGATCAACGTAGAAGGACCGCAATTCAATCCTTACCACATGCTGAGTGGCAACGATGTCGGGGACACCTCCCCAGTGTCCAAAGCGGCCTTTCGCCAACAAAACAAGTGGCTGCTCGAGCTCGTGGAGAACGCAACTTTGGCCGCCAATGCCACGATCATCGACTACTCGGACAACTACTGCTGGAACGACTCGTGCGGCGTTGTCGACGACCTCGGCCGCCCAGTCATGAAGGACAGCAACCACTTAACCCGCACGTTCTCGCACGAGTACCTTGGTGTGGTCGATCAGATCGTGCATTTTGCTTTAGCCCAACTTGCAAGTGAACTTAATGAATAATGTTATCCAGTACGAAGCAATGGAAAGTTGACTGCTTTGGGCTGACGCTGAGGCGTGAAGAACCCGTAGGATTTTGTTGGGCTGATGCTGGTAGCTTTATCGTCGAAGAAATCGGCCGCCCACGTCGGCACCGCTGTCGACAGACCCCAAGACGACGCTCGGAACGCATTGTAGAAGGCCACTGCGCCGTCTACTCCAGCGACGTTTCCTTTTGTTGAAGACGCTCCGCTGGAGGGGAACCCAATGTTCATGAGTTGCAGCTTGGACGAGGGGTAGATGGCCGACAAGTCATTCCACCAACGGTTCAGCGTAGCTGTCACAGCGTCGGGGGAGTTGACTATGTCCGTGTCGTACAGGGATAACGTCACGCCGATCACGTCACAATCTTGGCCCAAGCGGATCATGTCGGTTCGAAGCGCAGGATTGAGCCACTCGGTGGCCCGCTGCACGGTGCCCACTCTGACGGCGGTTGCTTTTGCTTGAGCAATGCGGTCTCGAACGGCACGGATGGCCGCACCGATCTCGTTGGCAGTGAAGCTCGTCCCGCGGTAGGCATTCTCGCTGCCTACAGTCACGGCCAACACGGTACTGGGAAAGTACTTGATGGCGCTTAAGGCACTCTGCACTTGGTCTTCGTACCACGCCTCCCGAGTCATCCCGATGCCAAGCATCAATTTGAGACCCACGGCCGCAGCAAATGGCGCAACGTCAATACCATAAAAGTTGGAGTATTCTGTGCGAATGGCGGAAAACCGCGTCCGAATGAGCTGCAAGTCCAAGCTAATGGCAGCTCCGATGTTCTTGAGATCGTTGGGATATTCATCAGCGTGAAACGGCGAGTACGCGACCCCTTGCGGACCACGCTGGCCCGTGGTCGTTGTTGGCGTCGGAACGGGCGCAAGAGGCGGTGTTGGTACTGGTAGGGAGGTTGGCTGCGGAGCTGGAAGATCTTGGCGGAGTAGTGGGTAGTTGGCCAGTTTCGGCAACCTTGTGATGGACGTGAAGAAGCCAAAGTGCTTTTCCAAGTCGGCCGACTGAGTCGTGTCGTCGGGTCGGAGGTCAAACATGGAGTACCAAAAAGCCTCCCCTCCCCCGGCTTTGGGGCTCCAGTTCTGAAACGCGTTGTAAAACTGAAACGAATTCGCCAGGCTTGGGATGTTCCGAGGAGCAAACGACGGGGCAGCTCCCCCCGTGGGGAACCCAATTTCGGTGAGCCGAAGTTTGGACGCGGGGTATATGGCGAGCAATTGGTTCCAAATCGCATCGAGGAGCCCCAGAGGGTTCCTTGCGTCGTAGTTGCCGTCGAAGAAGGGGTAGATATTGACGCCAATGACGTCGCAACTCGCAGCCAGCCGAAGCATGTCCGCACGAAGGTTCGGGTTGAGCCACTCAGTCGCCCGCTGCACCGTGCCGATCGGAACGTAGCGACCAGACCCCTTTTGGATGCGACTGCGGATGGTGTTGATGGAGGCAATGATGTCGTCGGCCTTGTATGGGCCACACGGAATCACGTTTTCGTTACCGACCAAGATCGCCTTGATGGTGCTCGGGTAGCTCAGCGCGGCGCCAACAGCATCGTCGATCTGGAATTGGTACCTGCGATCGATAGTAAGATCTTGAGACCATGATCTCGACATTACCATGCCTCCCGAGTCATAAACACGCCGAGGTACAGGCCCACGTTGTACTTGGCGGCATATCGGACGACTTGATATCCCAAGTACGACGAATAGTACGTGCGAACGACCGAAAAGTGCCGCGACATGAGCTTAAAGTCCTCGTCCATGGCGCCTCCCAGCAGCGCCGCGGAGCCCCCATTCAGGGGGTACGCTGAGTTGTGGAACGGCGAATAGCAAACCCCTGTTGACGAAGTGGCGTTTGCATCCAGGCGGTTGCGACTATGGGACGACACTACCTGGAATGAACATTGTGAATGCTCCAGTTTCGAGCTCCAACGTCGGGAGGAGATCTTTCGCGGTGCCTGCGTCGGTGACCAACCCAAACGACTTGACTTGGGGCATCCCGATGCGCGTGAGGGGATCATCCAAGCGCAGGTCAAAAAACGCCGCCCAAATTCCAGCGAATGTGGAACCAGTGAACGCCTGAAAGTACACTTTCGCATTCTCCTGGTTCAGCGCCACTCGCACCGGGGGGTTTTCGCTGCCGGTCGGATACCCAGTTGCCGTGATGATCAATTTTTCTTCAGGATAGCGGGCGGCCAAGTCGACCCACGTCGATTCAAGCTGATCGAGCGGACTGGACGACGAGTAATCTGGGTCCAAGTACGGATATGTTTCGACCCCAATGATGTCCACGGCCGAGGCCAGACTCTTGAGATCACTTTCTGCGCTTAGCCATGCATCAGCCCGTTGTGATGTCCCAACAGGAACAGCTACCCCAGTTGCAGCTTCTAGCCGCATCTTCAAGTCCGTCACGCGAGCCGTGATGTCTTGGGCCGTGGCGCTGCCGTACGGACTAACGTTGTCATTGCCGACAATGATGGCTTGAACCGTGCCAGGATACGTGAGAACAGCGGAAATCGCAGCGGCTACCTGATCCTCATACGAGTCGTTCGAGTCAGGAGAGGTTTGGCCAAAGTCGACACCGAGGAACAGGCGGAGGCTGTGTTTCTTGGCAATGGGTGCAATATCGACACCAAAATAAGTCGACTGGGCAGTGCGGACAAGGCCATAGTACGGCTTGATACTGGCAAGGTCGGCATCAATCGTCCGTGTGATTTGAGCAATGTCAATAGTCGCCAAGTCGTCGAGGGGAAATGAAAGGCTGTGCCGTGGGGAGTAGAACACGCCCGACTGCCCGACTGCAAGCAGCAAGGGCATCACCGCCCACTTCAAGACATAGCGCAACATAACGAATTGAACAATGCCAGCGTCATGGCAAACAATTCAGCGCAGGGCTGTCACGAGATGGAACATTCACAGAATGCGATAGGAACAAGGGATTCTAAATATATCTCGAAACGCCCGGGCACACGCGCCGGTTGCAGAGGTTTGTAGCCCAACTACGGCGAGATGAATCCGTGTCTGGTTGATCCAGCCCGTCACAATGTGACGTGATTCTATCGCACCTTGGACGAGAACCTCGAAACTGCGATGAATGTCCCCAACCGGCTTCGCATTCGCGACAATTTTGGTTGATAAGGAATACGCTCACCTCACACGCCTTCAGCGAGAAATAGTGTCAGCACGAGATGCTTGGCGCGGCGACTCGAGCGGGCCAAGCTGCCTGGCCGAACAACACAACAGTTCCCCCTGATCATTTATCGCACGCTTGTCAAATGTCCACTTGCAACCTTCGTGTGGAAGTATAACGTTATACAGGTTTTTCCTGGAAAGGCCGTTTGGTTGGTAAACATGAACATGTCCAAGTCAAACTGGGTGAACACGGACGGAACGGCGGACAATGCTCAACCGCCGATGTCTCTGCGCTACTTGAACGAGTTCGTGGGAAAGCTTCAGTGCGGCCCCCAGCTCCTGCAGCTCCAGATCTTCCCCGATGCGAAGGAAGTGTCCGAGAGCATGGGACTTTTCAATGCGGCGCGGCGTTTCCTGGATTTGGACGGCGCAGACGAGTCCATCGACGGAATCGTCGTGGTGGGAGACGGTTCGACACGTACGTGCACTTCGCTCTGGGATTGAATGACGTGATGCTATTGTCTATCCAGCTCGAACAGCAGTCATGTTTGCCTATCGCACGAAGGGATGGACCTGCTACAGTGTCGATCCCGAGATGCGACTACCTAGCGATGCAGTACGGTGGCCGCGTGGCTTTTGAAGTAACCAATTATCATGTTGTGTCCAGGAACCTGTGCCATGGGACGGCATTGAAAAGGTCGTGCCGATTCGAGCCAAGATTGAAGACATTCAGATTAACCTTCGCCGCGCAATTGTGGTTCTTGTTCACGCCCATGTGACGCTTGACCAAGCGCTGTCATCGATTCACGCCGAAAGCATTGTGGGGGTGCTGACAGTGCCATGCTGCAACTGGTATGGCAACCAAGAACGACTTCTACAGAGGTACGAAGTTCCATCTCGATGGAGTAATCGATCTTCAGCTGGTGGCGATTGTGACAGACACCCCGACATTGTGTACGACGACTTTAGCATCCTGTCCGACCACCGTGAAGTACCAATGACCATGCATCCACCTTGTCTTGCTCATCACGCAGTAGGTTCGAGTGTGGCGTAATTCGACCATCGCGACCACCGAAGTAGCGCTGAACCAATCTGGAAAAGCCATGACTGGTTGCGTCGTCAAAACTTACGTGAATCCCCAAGCTGCCATCGATGCTAAGACTGCCGCGCTGCAGCACCTGCACGACGACACAATGACCAAGATGGCGCAGGGGACCACCACCAGGTCCGAGCTGTGGGGACCTCTCGTTTCGCTTTTGCAACCGTACGCTTTTCACTGCAATTGTGTGATAGTGATTTCAACTAGCACAGATTTCTTGTTCTCGGCAGTCGCGTCGGCGTCCTGGGCGATGCAAATCGTGAATTCCAATCCTTCCTACTCCAAGAAACCCAAGCGACGACCGAGATTTTTCAGTTGACTCATAAGTACGACGTCGTGCTAGACCTGGGTGCTTTGCATGAGTGCCTCTACTTGATCGAGTCTCGAGTCGCGTCCTCGTTGGTGCTAAAGTTATGCAGCACTATCCAAAGCACTTTGGATGGTCCAAATGGGGTGTTTGTCTGTGTTACGCCGCGTCGAAAGCTCAAAGGCAGTTCCTTCTTTGCACAGTACGTCAGCCCGTTTCCTTTGGACAAGGAGTCTTGAGTTCTGTCTAGTCCATCGCTGAAATGGCGACTGGAAAGCAAATCTCTTGGCTCCTCCTTTGTGCTCATGTGCCGAGAAGCCTTGCCACACGAAACTGTGCCGTCCAGAGACCAAGTGGTGGCGGACTTACACCGAGTCGCCAACGACTTCAAGGAAGAAGCGACGTTGGTACGGCCTCATTAGCCCATAACAGTTCAACTGGTAGCGTGGTCTGGTTAGGTTCAAGGCAATATCAGCGGAATTCGCATCAAAAGCCGAAAGCTTACATTTTTGGATGTGAATGCAAGTGGCACGACGATGCAAGTGGTGCTGAGCCACAGCAGTCTCAAGCAAGGTGCTGTGGCCAATCCCCAAGACGTTGCCCGGTACTTGCACGTTGGAGACACCATCTCCGCCAAAGGAACACTTGAGACGCCTACAAAGCTCCACGCCGTTGTGATCGAAGTCATGTCAGGTCGAAGTGTTCCTGGCAAACGCCGATACGGCATTCAAGAATGAAGAAACCCCGAAACCCCGTAACCTCGAAACACCCAACTCGAGTTTAAAACACCTGAATGAAACAAAATCGAGCTAACGAGAACATGAGCGATTCGCCAACTACAACAGCGGCACGTGCCGTGGACCAAAGTGTGTCTGTCGAGTCACTGCGAGCGCAGCTGCCATCGCCCAGCATCAAGGCCAAAGAGGTCACAAGCCGCTCGCATGCATCCTTTGGGACGTGGCTGTCGGTTTTCTCCACCGGTCAATGGCGCAGTGCCCAAGTCATTGACGAGAAGGACAATCTCCTGTGTGTAAGCTTCACGGATGACGACGAGGAAGACATGTGGATCGATCGTGAGTCGCATGACATTTCGTTCGACAACGTGGACGACTCGTCCTCACTCGTGGCCATTGCCCGGCCACCAGGGTCTCCACAGGATCAATTTTTGGGCCTGGCAAACCATGGTAACATGTGCTTTCTGAACAGCCTTCTTCAGCTGCTCTATTCACGACCTCAATTCCGCGACGCTGTCCTTCGTACTCCGCCTGCAAATGCCACGGAACAGTCTTTGATGGAATGCTTTCAGCAACTTCACCGAGGATGTGGGACCACAGGGGATGCAAGTGCTGTGCTGAAGGCCGTTGGACTCGACATCGGTCTGCAGCAGGACATCCAACAAGTGTATTTGCTGCTTATGGATTTGATGGAATCTCACCCGGTAACTGAATGCGTCACAGGCTCCATTCTGTACTCGATCGGGTACAAGGGCGAACTTCGCGTCAGCACGGCTGGATTCCACTGCTTGTCCCTCGATGTGGTGGGCGTTAAATCCCTTGAGGAATCACTTGCAGAGTGGGCAGCACCAGAGTATGTCGACGACTTCGATTGGGACGAAAAGTCCTGTGGAGTCACAGTTACCAAGCAATCGACGTTGAGCGTGTTGCCGCCACTTCTGCTCTGCCACCTCAATCGATTCACCCTCAACTACGACACCTGGGCGACCGAAAAGGTCGCATCATGGCTTTCTTTTCCAATGACATTGTCTTTCCGGGAAGAATACGTGCTCCGAGGCATCGTAGTGCACTGCGGCGATGAAGCTTCCTCAGGACACTACAAGGCTTATCTCGACACCAACAACTCGTGGATGGAGTTCAACGACAGCCTCGTGCGGCCGTGGGACGTCGACACCCACCTGCACACGGATTGCTTTGGTGGACCAGGCACCGACCAATGCGCCTACTTGCTGTTGTACGAGATGCAAGTCACGGTGGAAGAATGTAACTAGCCGTGCACGTATCTATTGGCACGAAATTCTCTGCATGTGGCACATGCTTGGCTGGATTTCGTTCAAGGCTTAATTATAGTACAAACAGGAACAACATCGCCGACGTCCACACGTGTGTTACCATGCTTCAACGGGCGTATTTTGGCTGCACGAAGACGTTTGGCAGTTTCCTTCCTCCTTGGGCACCTTGGGCTGCATGGCGGCACGAAAGAGGTCGGTTTTGTATCGCTTGAAGAGCTGCGTGAGCCCTCCTTCGACGAGAAAGGCCTCCTCGAGCGCCGTAAGGGCGAATGGAAATGATTTGTCGCCGATCATCACTTGGCGCTTCGGTAGGTCGACGCTGACGGTCGAGCCTTCTTCGGCCAGCTTGTGAAAGACGGGATCGGTGATGACGATGCCAAGCAGCGCGTTGTTGGGCTGGTTGCGGGCGTAGATGTAAGCAAAAGATTTCGCGATGACTGCCTGGACTCCCAGGGCCTTGAGACACCTCGCTGCTTCTTCTCGCGACGACCCCGACCCAAATGCCGTCCCAGCAACAATTATGTTGGCCCCATCCCGGCATTTCTTGACAAAATCCGGCCGTGTGTACGCAAACGAATAGCTCGCGAGGACCTCTTCTTCCGTCTTGCAGTCTGCGGGCCAGAGAGAGGACGATGGGTTAAGTCCCATGAACTGGGCGGGAATGATCGCATCCGTGTCGACATCGTCTTCGAACACCTGGACACGACCGGTCATGATGGAAGAGGTGGATGCACGCATTTCGGAAGCGTCCGCGGGTGGCCGTGTAAACACGACGGGTGTGAGGTCGGGTGCAGGCTCCGACACGTGAAAAGGTGCTTGAGCGGTGTCCGTCGCGCTGGTGTTCCACTGGCGATAGGCGTCAAACAGAGCAAAGTCGACTTTGGCAAGCAACTCGGCCGGGTCTGTCACTTGCATGCGGAAACTCGAGGCAGCGACAGCTGCGGCAGAAGCTAGGTGGCCGATGGAGCCTTTTCCCATGCGGTTGCGGAAGTTGCGGTTCTGACTACTCAGCCAGACCTCGCCAGGCTGAGCTACATCCGCGCCGATGCCAACGCAGAACGAGCACGATGGAACACCGACAGTGAATCCTGCCGCTTCGTAGATGGACAAAAGACCGAGTTCTTGGAGGTGCGCCACGATTTGAAGGGAACCAGGTGTCACGCGCTTGTTGCCAGGGGTAATGGGGCAGCCGGCCAACAGCCCTTGCTGCAGCACCAACGCGCCCAAAATCAAATCTTCTTGCGTCGTCGTACACGCACCGATGAAGCATCCGTCAAGAGGCATGCCAGCAACGTCACCGATAGGAACGCAATTGTCCGGCGATGGATGAATGGCCACGGTGCTACGCACTTCGTCGAGGTTGATCACGTGGTGGGCTGCGTAAGTGCAGTTCGGGTCTGGCTGAAAGTAGAGACCTTCGTCCTTGTGCGAGGTGCGCTTAGCGCACACGGCGGCAGTGATCGCGTCCGCAGCAAACACACCCGCAATGCCACCGAACTCCGTGGTCATGTTTGCGATCGCAAAGCGCGCGTCGTCGGAGAGGTAACGGAGGCCATCACCGCCGTAATAGACGGCACGTTCAAAGGCAATGGTGTTCCGCTTCAAAGTGCCCAGAATATGGAGAATTACGTCTTTTCCGCCCATTCCAAGTGGAGGCTTGCCCACTAACTCGATGTACACGACTGGGGGAACTTTGAACCAGGTTTGGCCTGTCACTAGCGGCATCACGACGTCGCCAGCGCCAAGTCCCGTCGCAAACGCGCCCATTCCACCGGCACTGCATGTATGGGAATCGGCTCCAATTACAATTTGACCTGGCTGTGCACGTTGGCGTGCAAACTCGGTGTGCATGATGGTAGTGTTGGGTCCCCAAAAGTCAGTCAACCCGTGCTCCTGGGCGAAATCGGTGGCGACTTGGATCAGTGCTTTTTGCTTGGGGAGATGGTTCACGCGAGGGTCAACTGTGTGGTCCACTGCCAACCAGAAACGGTCAGGGCGGTGCAGCCGTGGTCGCCCGATGGACGAGTATAGCGTGTCCATGCCTTGGAATGTGAGCTCGCTGGCAAGAGTCCAGTCCGATTTGACGCAAATAACGTCTCCCTCTTGGACGCACGGGACAGAAAGGCCCACGGCATGGTGGCATAAGATCTTCTCGATCACGTTCATGGGAGGCAGCGGTGTCATCGCGGCAGAAGATCCGATTATGATCGCCAAGTCGCAACCATTTGATCTTCACCGAATGCGCAACCAAGGGAAACCCGTCTGGGATCTTCGATCAGTGCAATTTTAGTACCGGTTAATATTAATATTTGAATTGGATGGTGTAGTATAGTTCAAAATAGATACAAACTACTTCCTATTTCGTGATTTAGTATCCGACATATACACGAGCCCATACAAATGGCAAGTGACTTCCAAATCTCAGGTTTGCGCAATTACAATGGCATTGGCGGATTGGTCACTTCAGCATGATGACGCTGGAGGGGTCGATGCCGTGCGAATGCAGCGGACAAGGGCAGGACCTCGTCCAAGGATGTATGACGAAGGTGCATGCTTCACGCACGACACACGCGGTGTGAAGGTGGTGAGATGCGTCGAAGATGCAACGGAATATTTAATGGTGGCGTTAGAATTGAAGGCGTTAGCCAAGCTATTCGGCCCCACCAAGACCTAGTTTGTGTATCAAGGGATAAAGGGAAACAATAGTGATGGCATTTACTCATAGGTATTCTAACAACTCTACTCGTCAAACGCTGCTTTGGTCGAATCGAGTACTTCTTGCGCTACAGAGCGTATGAGTCGAGTTCCATGCTTGACAACAGTAACGTACCAACACTGGCCACGTCCGAGCAGGCCTGACTGCCATACGCGCCATTCAACTTGGTCAATGCAAACTGGTGCAATCGCAGGTTGAGATCCCTGTCGTCCTTGTCCGCCCTAGTCTTGAGGGCTGCCAGATTTGACGTGCACTAAACAAAGTCCATCAGGACCTTCACAAGCACCGACCTAACGTACCACAACCAAGGCCATTAGAGCTCTGGCGTTGTTCGAATCATTGAGCTCCAACGAGTGAGCCAAGTGCTTCCGTGCAACTTTCAAGTTGTCGTAACCTCCGATCGTGATGTAAATTTCGGCAAGGCGTTCATGGAAGAAAGCGTTGAGTGGGTTGGTCAAGATCAGCTCCTCAAAGCAGAAGGCCGCCTTCGCGTAATTGCCCGCGGACACGTGGAGGTCAGCCAGTTCGCTCCATGCCCCAGCGTCAGTCTGAAAATTCTTCAGAAGCTTGTTGAGCTGCTCGATGGCTTCGTCGATCTTGCCTTGGGCTTTCAGAATGGCGACTTGTCGCTTGATGACGAGCATGTTGGACGGGTTTTTCTGCAGCATGTCGCGGTAAAACGCGTCAGCTTGAGAGTACTTGCCGTTGGCCTCCAGCGCCATCAGCTCAAGCCGCAATACTCGAGAGCTGTTCGGGAATCGGGTCTTGAGAACTGGAATGTACTGATTCACCACGTCCAAATCATGTAAGTCCAAGGCTGCCAAAATCGTTTGCTCAAATATGGTGTACAGCACATCCGACGAGAGGCCACCGTCGGCAATCAACTTTTTGCCGACCTTCAGCACAATCGCCGGCACGCGGATCTTCTCCTTTCGAATATAATCTAGCAGTTCCACACAGCTCTTCCTGTCGCCGGAGGCCGCTGCTTCGACCTTCTTTGTGTACAGGTCCATCTTGACTTCCTCTGCGGTTGTGGAGAGGGGACGGGGAAAACCTCGTGTAATTTGATGACTCTAATAAAGAATACTTCCAATTTTTTATATAGCCTGTTCTGTGGAAATGGATCGTGTCCACCTCAGTCATGCTTGACCTCGTCGTTCGCCTTGCCTCCGACCATCGACTCGGCCATAGATGACACCTTCTCCACAACAAAGTTGATGGCCGGTCCACTCAGCACCCCCATTACAACAAGCAGGTACAGCTGCGAATCTTCGTCTTGAGGCAAGTAGCCCGCCGCCGCACCAAGACTGGCAACAGCGAGGGCAGATACTGCCGCCACCGCACTCTTCACCAGTCCCGTGTTTGAGTTCCGAATAAAGTTGGCACCAGCGCTGTCGATGATAACGTTCAAGAACACGATTCCAGCCACCACCGGCCACGAGAGCATTGGCCACGCAACACCTTCCATTGCAGCACGGCAAAATATCTTGTTTTTTCATGGCATTTCGTTTTGTAGAAATTGTGAAATAACTCCCCAAATACCTGTCCAAAAACGTCAATTGCTGTTTGTTTACTGGTCGGTATTCAAATGGATCGGCGGCGGCCTAGTTGTTCCAGTCCACCTGCACTGTCGCTGCAAGCAGCCGATGGATGGATCAAAGGTACCGTTGTATCCACAATCCAGCCACGACTGCCACCAGCACACCAAGGTGGACTGCGACAGTGGCGGCCGCAAGAAGAAACCGTGTTTCAGAACACTCCTCGGCCCTGTCATGCTGGTGTTCCGACAACAAAGCACGGGAGCAGCGATTCCCAATTGTACGTACAGACATAGCTTGGACTTGAAACACGATCGAGAAAAAGACGAAAAATGCCACTTGGAGGATCGACACTGCCAGCAGACTACATTGGCCTAGTTCGAACGGTGACGCAGTGGATCGTGCTGGGGGAGAAATACGCCAAATGGTTAAGCAAAGCCAGCAGAGCCTCGTGCTTTGCGATCGTTCAATGGAAATCCAATGGCATTCCAGGCGGCAGTCATCGTTGCGAAAGCCACCGCATACATAACAGTTCTAGTCAGTTGTACGGCCACAGCTGAAATTGGCGCCATAAACCATGGACAAACCAGGCATCTTCCGCAAAACCAGTGCTGCTTGACCATGCTGTAATGCCGACACGGAAGTCGTCGTACAGACGGGCATAAACCAGTGTAGGGACGTTTCACCCGATGGCAAACTGGAGTCCATTGATGCACCTACTTTAAAGCTAACTGCAGCGTTAACGCAGCTCGTACCCCACTGTGGCAATACTCAGAGCAATGCAACCCCTGCGGAGTCCTCATCGATATGAAACTAGGACACTCAACAGGATTTACAGTGGTGGATGCACATGACGCATATAGACAAACCAGACCCATTCCCAACAATGCCCTTGGCTAGTGCGATCATCATCACATACTGGGCTTCATCAAGTCGAACTTCTTCTCAATGGAACATCATACAGCGCGGACATTGCCACACATTAAACTATTTGCGACCTTTCGTCGCAGATTATGGTGGGCATCTAGACCTTACCGACTGGTAACTCACTTCGCCTCTTCCGGCAACGCAAGCAACAGCTATCCAGCACTTGCCATTACGATTGTGAAAACGTGGCAAAAGGCGCTGGGAGGCGAAGAAGGTGTGGTTGGGCAATTAGAAGCAGCCCGAATGGCTCCGCCTGCACTGCCGCTCCATGCAGTCGATGAATGACCTAACTCACGCAATGATGTCATTGCCTCAGGGCACTGTCGAGTTGCCCGGCTGCAGTTGTAGTCTGTGCGGCTCTGTTATGCGGTCGTTTCTTGCGTGAGCACTCGTGATGGAGGGCAAGAATCACAATAAAGCTCTAGTTGAGTTCATCGTAAAGGAGCGTCAGCTGCGCCCCTCACAACATGTCGGGTTTTCGTTTTTTCAACCTCGGGGACACGAGAGATGTTTGGGCTGCTTGTTTGGCGTACGCAGCCTTGATTTTGTCCATGTTTTGTTTGGAAACAAGTGCATGGTCTACGATCGGGGCTGGGTAATCCGTGCCTATCCTGCACTGGCACATCAGCTGGACCTCTTTGGGCGCTTTCCACGGCTCGTAAATGAACTTGTCAGGGAAATGACGCAATTCGGGCACCCATCGCTTGATGTACAGGCCTTTCGGGTCGGTCTTCTTGCCAAACGCCACTGGGGAGTAGCACTTGAAGTATTGGAAAAAGAAATGTGAGCACGACAGCCACTGCCAGTTGCCGTTGTTCAAAGCCCAGTCAAAGTCGAGTAAGTACAGCTCAAAGACTTTGGCGCCTTCTTCCCAGTGCTGCCAGAGGTCGCCCCTGGTTAAAAAGCATGCGACGGCGTGCCGAGCCAAGTGATGGATCCATCCTTCCGCCTTGAGTTGGCGCATGACGGCATCGATGAAGGGGAATCCGGTCTGACCGTGCTGCCACTTGGATATGATGGACGCATTTCGATCCCACGGAATTTGGCGGATCACTGGGTTGTGTTCCATCGTGTCGAAGTGCGGAATCGTGGCTCCTTGGAGGTAAAAGAACTCGCGCCACAAGATTTGCCCTGTAAGGGACACCGGCGGCAACGTTGGTGTTGTTGCTGCCGCTGTGATAGCTTCGAGGCGATGGAAGAGCAGGGTACACGAGAGGGATCCGTGGCTCAAGTACGGTGAGAGCACTGTAGTTGCTGGAGAGAGTGCATTTGGACTTGTCTTGGGCTTTTCAAACTGCTCCACCCACTTAGCTCGCTGCGTGACTTGCTCGTCCAATCGCTTTAATGCGTGGGTCTCTCCACCCGGATAGACCAGCGGCGCTTTTCTTGGTGGATAGGTCAACTCCTGCAGAGTTGGTACGCCAAATTCATCGTAGTCCAGTTTGGAATCTGTGGCAGGCAGTTCTGGCACCGGCAGAGGCGATCGTACCGGTCCCATCGCTCGAAAGAGAGTGCAAAAGGCGCTGTACGTGTGGAATGGAAGACGAAGCTTGGCACTTGCTGCAATATACTCGTCCGGATGATGGAGAGTGTGCCCGCACGTTGTCACGACTTGGATGTCCATCGTCTGTTCATCCTTTTCAGGTGCATAGAAAAATATAAAACAGCCCTACGCGCGCCATCTCGGTCACTCGCGCCGCGAGTGTCATTGACGCAGGCTCGGAATCGAATTCAAACGTAATCAGGCTGACGTTCCATCGCTTACACGCTTGTTCAAGCTGGTCAACGGTATCGTCACCTTTCAAGACATAAAGCCGCGACTTGTGGTGACTACTAGGGATGTCAGTGTATGAGTAGATTGAAAAGTCTTGGCACCGGAGGTTTGCATCAAGGTCAACGAGGGTTTCGAGGAGATGCGTGTATCGATTGATCCCGATATCTCGCCTGTCAATCGCTGGTTCTAGGGCATACACTGGGAACAACTGTTTGGCCCCGGCACTGACAGCTGCGTGCAATGCCGGGTTGTCGTGGAGGCGAAGTCCTTTCCGGAACCAGTGAAGCGCCACCCCACCTTCTCTCATCGCAGTTGCCCCGTGAATATTGGAATTCTGACGTCGTCGCGGTGAAATCTACCTGTCAAGATTGGACGGAGCCAATCAGGAATGTTTTCCCTCGATACACAATTCCCCCT